CCGCTCGCAGTCGAGACGGGCTCGAGCGCTATGACCTCGATCTTGAGGCTGCAGGCCCGCGGCATAGTGCCCCATCCATTGGATTACTGGCTGCAAGCGGAGCGCGCGCGCGGTGGAATCGATGCCGTGGAGTATTGGACCTTCTGGAAGCCCCCATCGGGCCCGAGAGAGAGGAGTAACGTCGAATGATCTCCTGCTGCGCCGCCGTTGCGCCGGCGATGCTTCGATGCTTCGGCGACGTCGGGATGGGGGCGGATGGGGGGGGGGCATGGGCCAGCGCGCATAGGTGATGCATCGATGCCGTCAGCCGACGTGAGATAACGAGGTCGTTAGTCGATCGCTGCCGCGATCCCCAGACTCTAGACTCTAGACCCCCAGACCCACTCACTCTGAGACTCAGACCCCCTCTCTCTGGGGGTTGCTGGTGGCATCTGCCATGACATCCGTAATGTATCCGTTGCGCATATGGTGGGGCCCAACACCGCCGCCAGTCGTCGACCCAGGCGAAACTCTGGCGTTGCTATATTGCCAGATGTCCGACATGGCCACGCAGAATATGCTCACATATTTATCCTTGGGTGAGGACGCGAAGGGGCGAAGGGGAGGGGGCAGGCGGGCGGCGGGAGGGGGAGGAGGATGGGTGGGAAGAGGAGGATGACGGAGAGAGGAGGAGGGTGACCGTGAATGGCGAGCGGGTGGGCATTTGATAGATATCGGAACACATGGGCCCCATGGGCGGCTTCTGTCAACAAGGCCCAGATTCGGCCCCGTCAAATATGGTGGGAAAACGCACGCCCCCCTCCTCGTTGCCGGACGTTGCTGGACTTCATTGCGGTGTTCATCGGGCCCATGTAGTACAGGATTCTGTTGAACTTACCCGATGAGGACCCGCCCGCCCCTCCCTCCCGTGAGGCCCTTTCACTCACGTCTCTCCTCCGTTTCACCACTAGGACCTGATCCATATGCTGAGGGCCGACAAGTACTGGGGGATATATTGCACGGAAGTCAGGGAGTGCATCTTGTTGTGCCCTCGGGCCCTGCTCCTGGTCCTCCTCGTTCTCGTCCTCCTCCTCCCCGATGCGTCATCCTGGGTCCTGGGTACGGGCCATCGTGGACCCCCCCGAAGAGGTGGTTTTGAGCGGTGGCGCGGGCCCGAGTTAGGACACGGAAGCGCGTTCGAACCGTTCGATCCAGACTTGACGTGACGGTCACGGCGCGCGCAAAATTGCCGAGGGCATTGGCTGTCCGTCGTCATCGTCGTCGTCTCGTCGTGGTCATCGTCGTCGTCGTCGTCAGAGTCATCGTCCGTCAGTCGTCATCGTCGTCGTCGTCGTCGTCCGTCGTCATCGTCGTCGTCGTCGTCGTCACCGCCGTCGAGCAGCTTACTACGGGCTAACGGCGGCCACTCCGATACTCATGCGGTGCCGCCTCACGCCTGAATTTGATTTTCACCGTGAAAGACACCTCCCCCGCAGGTCCGCCGCCCGCATGCGTCCCACACACACCACGCCCAATTCGGCACACCCCTCACACGTTTCGTGGCCGCCGTGGCCCCATAGGGAGCTCCACCGAAGGCCCGAGTGCCGCCGCCCGCATGCGTCCCCCACGCTCAATTTGGCACACCCCTCACACGTATCGAGGCCCATAGGCCCATAGGGAGCTCCACCGAAGGCCCCAGTGCCGCCGCCCAGACGAACGAGGATGTCGGGCAACATACACAGCAGCTACACAGCAGGAACTCCAGCATGGCGCATGGCATGGCCCCGAGGAGCACGTTTTTCGTAATGTTTTTTTGCCCCGCCTCCGCCCCCCAAACCACAGGCCTCCATGAACGCGAGGGTGATGAGCCACCCCGATGATAACGCGTTCAAGTGGCAGAATGATGAGAAGAAGGCCTTGCAGAGCATGGGTTTTCAGTTTAACCCTCGCCCGTGGACTTGCCGGGCAGGGGTCAGTTTGCGGGGATTGTCAGGGACGTTTCGTGAACGATCCATCATTGATATTTGCTGGCTCAGAGCGGCTAAAAGAACAGGAAAGCATTACCTTGATGAGACGATCCGTGCAGGTTTATTTTGCGACCCATCTCAGACTTTGCAGCGCGCTGGCGATGTTGGTCTTCGGACACAGTGCCAGAAGTCAACAAAGTATTCTTACGAACTTGACAGAGTGTTGCTTGCAGGGGACCAGCTCGGCCTGATGGGATTTCCCACCTCGGGGCTAGACGGTCTGCCTAGCGAGCGCCAGCGTCTCGGTTTCGTTGGTGAATGTGTAAGCCCACCGTGCTTGGCCACAGCGATTTGCTGCATGCTTCTTTTACTGAATGCCGATGGGCTGTTCGAGCAGCCACCGTGTGAGGACATTCCAGCAGACACGAAGTCCTGACTTTTCGGCCTTACTGGCTTCACGTGCGTCGGAGTGAACGGTTTGATTGGTTTGCGCCAGCGTGTCAACTTTCCTAGGAGTGAACATTTCCTTCGGCGCTTCGGCACTGTCCATCGTTGGAGGCGGGGCGGTTGCGCCGAGGCTCGCCCTTTAGGCTTTTAGGCGATGAGGGGGATGGATGGAGGAACGACTTTCAGAACTGAGAGCAACTTGCATACCTTGAGATTCCACCCCCTACAACACACTAACACACTATCCAACTAACTAGCCCACACTCTACCTGCTGTTCACCAACCCCAGGGCCTCAGGGCCCCAGGCCGGGGGAGGGTCCTCGGGCAAGAGGGAGAGGGGCACAAGTTGTGGTGGAGATGCGATGAGGATGAGGAGGATTGAGAAGGAGAGGGTGGACAGGAAGAGTTGGATTGGAGAGGAATGGGGGCTTGAACGAATAGGGGAGACAGGATCAGGAGACAGGAGGAGAGGATCAACGATCGCAGCGGCCAAATGACAATGCAATTTAATTGCAGTGAGTTGTCACGCGCAGGGGCCCGACATCGCATAGTGCAAAGTTGCAGAGCGCTGATCGCCTTCGCATTGTCGGAGACTGCGGTGTGCGCAATATTATGCTGGAGCGTGACTCATATTGGTTTCGTTTGGTTGGAAACGTTCTTCACTTTGTTTCGCGTTCCGCTGCTTTTGCCCTAGCCCGGAGCCTCAGGTGGTCGAGTCGAGTCGAGGTTCATGGTCCTGAGTCGAGGCTCATGGACTCATGCGCCTCCTCCTCCCCCTACTACTCCATCTCCTGGTCCTTCCTGCTCGCCCTCCCTCCTCTTCTTCGCCATCCTCATCCGATTATCCTCGACGGCGCGTCGCTTCCAGCGGCGCGTTGCGCAACCGCCTCGAGGGCCCGGAGCCCGGAGTCCCTGGCCCTGGAGAGAGAGACAGAGAGAGAGAGCGAGAGAGAGAGAGAGTTCAAAGGAGGAGGCGGGGGAGGCACATGCATGCCACCTGGCACCACCGGGTCACCACCGCCTGCCATCTGTCCGTGGGCACTCGCGGGGATATGCCCCACACTGGTGGGGCGGCGGGCGGTTCAGCCCCACTTGGGGGCCCCGCATTCGCGGGGCAGCGGTTCGGGGGAGGAGGAGTCGGGGGATTCAACGAGAGAGAGAGAGAGTGTGTGTGTATATGTATATATATAATATATATATATATATAGTCCGCGCGACACGGGCTGACAAGGGGTTCAAGGGACCAACGGCTATGCGGCCCACTGAGTGGGCCGCTGATCCTCGCCAAGGACCGGCCGCCACCCAGCGCCGTTCAGAAGCTTTGCCATGGTGGTGGAGGCTTTCATCGTCCTGGCCTTCCTGAGCGGCCTATTGCTTGGCCACCTCACCAGCCGCTTCGCGGTGGGAAGGGGCGTCGCGACTGCGCCGACGTCATCGTCGTCGGAGCCGGAGCCTCTATCGGGGAGTCCTACGCGTTCGTCGAAGCGAGGCAAACCGTGCGGTACATGCTCAAAGTTCGAGACGCAGTGGGGGGCGCACTTGCGCGCGACCTCGCCGACATCCAGCAACAGTACGACCCCCGAGGCGACTCCACCGAGTCCGAAGCGTACACTGTGGCACGTCCCGGGGAGCGCGGTGTATCATACGAAGAAGTGCGGTTACATCAAGAAGTCTGAGAACGTGAGGAGTTTGGACCTGTGCCAGACGTGCGCGAGGAAGGACCGATAGCCGCTAGTGTCCAGCCTGCAATTCAATTAACACGGGGTGCTCTAGCCGCCTGAGTCACTCAGGCGGCCACCCGAGTCAATCCCTACTGCGCATCTGCTATAGCCTCCACCTTATCCCCCTCAGCGCGAGCTTACCTGCGCCCACGGCGGGCTTGCGGCAAGCGCTTGTGCAGTGCCTTTTGTGTTTGATTCAAAGTGACGTAGCCCAAAATGCGCCATAATGAGAGGGCCGCATGTGCCGCAGGTGGCATCTCTGTTGCTGCTTCCCTGTTGCTTCCCTGTTGCTTTTTCCATTTCCTTTCGTACCAGGCACCATGCCATGCAGTCAGGAGACGCTCACGGGTACGCTCAGCGTTTAGGGGGCTTTGGACGACGACCATAAGACACCAAACGAATATGAGGAGGGGGAGTGGGAGGAGGAGGAGGAGGACGACGACGACACAGGTCCCAGGTGATTTCAAGTACTTATCATATCGCTGCAGTGTTTCAAGGGGTGCTGGGGGTCCTAGGAGGATCTAGATTCTAGGTCCTAGGAGGAAACCGAGGAGGCTCTAAGACTCTAAGACCCTAAGAGGCGCCCAAGACGCACACCACAGGGATCTAGGACGAAAAACAAGCGGGACGAGAGAGGAGGGGATCCAACCCGTAGTTCTCACCATAGAGTCCGATAGAACCCCTGAAGAGTTTAGACCGCTCTGCACCACCAGCCTCTCCCCGTTGATTGAATTTGAGCGTCTGATGGTTGAAGTATCGGAATCATTTGTGCAGTTGTATGCCCTCCGCAACAATTGACATTCGGGCTAGCCAAACGTGACTACCCTCAGTGTGTGACACTCATCGAACGAACTACTGCTTTGTGAGCCTACTCGGACTTAACAGCATGGCTGCCCCGTCGACCCCCGCTCCCTGCATCAGCAGCTTCATCACTGATGGGCCGCGCATGTGTTGCTCGTGCGGCGTCAAGAGCGACAAGCCCGGCCAGGGTTGGGCCAAGTACACGGTGATCAACAAAGGGAAGGAGTCTGAGCGCCGTGAGCCTATTGAAGATCTTTGTGACATTTGCCCGCTCGGGGTGGTACATGGCCAGTTCGACTTCGCGTCCAAGTCTGGCTTGGAGTCTGCGGTCCGCTCAAACCCTAGCGTTGGCGCTAGGGTCCACGCGGCCGGCCTGGCGGCCAAGGACAAGGGCCTCGGCAAGCAGACGTTCCAGATGCAGAGCGCCGAGGAAGTGACCAGCACGACGGCCGAGCTCGTCCAATGGGGCAAGCTAATCGACAAAGATCAGTTCTCAACCCAGTTCGGCTTCGACCCGGAGACCAAGGACATCAAAGAGAGCAGCATCGAGGGCCGTTACGGGACCAAAGCGGGCTATTGCGTCGAGGACGTCGAGGCTGGGTGCCAGATCCGCTTCAGCACGACGTTTCAGGTCAGTGGGACGGCCACCATTGTGCCGCCAGAGCGCCAGGTTCGTGAGAACCAAGGTATGGACGTCTTCAAGCGCGGCGCTTTCAAGGTGGTCGGGACCGAGGGCATGCAGGTCACGCCGTACTCCGCCGCCGACCTGGATATTATCAAGCGGGAGGTCCTTGCCGAGCAGGACCGCGCGATGCAGGACTTCGCAGCGGCCAACGCCCAGGCCGGGGCCCAGGGGGGTCTGGGGCAAAGGGAGGGAGGGAATCGAAGAAGGGATGAGGGAGCAGGAAGGAGGAGCTGGGAGGAGGGAGGAGGGAAGAGGTGGAGTGATCCAGTGGAGTGCGAGATCCATGGGTCCATGACCCATGGAGCTCAGACTGGGCTCCAACCTCCATCACCTCCTCCCTTCTCCTCCTCCTCGTCCTCCCCTGCCTCCGTCCTCCTCCTCATCCTCCTTTCCTATCCTCTCGCCCTCCTCCTCCTCCTCCTCCTCCTCCTCATGTTACCTGTTGTTCCTCCCTCGGTCCTACCTCCTCCTTCCTACCTCCGCCGACCTCTCTTACCTTCTGCTACTCCTCCCTCATCTTTCTGTTGCATTTGCTGTGTTGCATTTGCTCCTCCATCCTCCCTGCTGCTGCCGCTTCTTCTTATTATCCTCTCCCCCGTCGTTCCTCCCCCCCTCCAGGCCCCCGATGGATCCGCCATGACCGACGAGGGGCCTCAGCCTATGGAGGTTGAAACCATGGAGGTGATGCTCGCCGACGAAAACGAGGAGGAGGCCGCGGCGCCCCCCAGCAAGGGCTCGGGCGGCCGTGGCCGCAAGGGGAAAGGTCGTGGGGACACCAGCGCCGGCAGGGCCAGGGGAGAGGGGGACAGCGGCGGCAGGGGTCAACGACGGCGCCTGTCCGACGCGTCTTCCGCTTGCGGCAGCGCCGCCGCCACGCCCGCCACGCCGAGTCCAGCATCGAAGATGGCCCGATCCTCGTATTCTGAGAAGGTCCCGAGACCCGGCGGTGGCGGTGGCCAGCTTCCGAAGGGGCAGACCTACATCAACAAGGTCGCCGACATCCATAGCATCTTGGATGGCAGCTACACCCCCAACATGGACTTGTACCAGCTGCGACGGCTGATGAACTCGCTGACTGGCGAGGATGGCAGGGTCTCCGACCCTGGACTCTTCCAGCAGATGAAGTCAGCATCGGAGCTCGCGGCGCACGCCAAGGAGATGGCGCCCACCAGGCTCATGCTGCTGGACGACGCGACGCTCAAGGTCAGCCTCAAAGCGCTGAAGTCCAGAGGAGTGATACTGCAGCTGGTGACCAAGAAGGGCTTGTGGCATCGCCAGGTCGTCGCGGCCGTCAAGGACCTGAACTTCCAGAAGCTCAGTCAGCTGTTCCTCGGCTCCCCCAGCGGCTCCAGCGACGAGGCGAGGGCTTGCCGAAATGAGCAGGAGGATCCGAAGAGTCAGATGAGGAGCAAGATGGGGCTGGGGCCCGGGGACAGGAGGGAGGTTACGACGACGACGACGACCGACGGCCCTCTCCGCGGCGGGAGCACGAGCCCCAGAGAGGCAGGGGGCCGAGGCGGCAGGGTACCCTCCACTTCACTTCCTCCACTCCGCCTTCACTTTCTCCAGCCTCCGCCCACCCACCATCCACTCACCACCCACCACCCACCCACCAGTGGTGCGTGGGCCGCGTGGGTGGTGGGTGGTGGGCAGGTGGTGGGTGGTCGGTGGTGGGTGGGTTTTGGGTGGGTGGTCGGTTGTCGGTGGGTTGGTGGTGGGTGGTGGGTGGGTGGTGGGTGGTGGGTGGTGGGTGGGTGGTGGGTGGGTGGTGGTGGGTGGTGGGTGGTGGGTGGGTGTGGCCCACCCCACCGACCCACCCACCACCCACCGACCACCACCACCCACCCACCACCCACCACCACCCACCGACCACCACCCACCCACCACCCACCCACCCACCCACCTACCACCCACTGATTGGGGAATATTGCATACCTCACTCTAGGCGGACGCCGACCCTTCCTACAGTACGTGGCCTACCTTGATGTCAGAGATCGAGATCCAGGACCGCGTCGAGTGTCTCTCGTACGTCATCGTCGACCTCGTACTCTTGCCAGTGGTGGTAGCGGGCAGCATGCAGGGCTACACCCAGAAGGTGCTGCAATGCTGCAAGGTCGTCCTGGATATTCTCACGAACAACCAGGAGGGGGATCTTCTCCTCGAACCCTCCTCCTACTCAGTCCTACTCTACTCCTCCATCCCCTACATTGACTCTACATTCCCGCCCGCACCTGCTCCGCTAGGAGCTCGTCCAGATCAAGACGTGCTGCAGAGGCGTGGCTGCCATCCTCGACCCGCTGCCAGGTGCCTGCGGATCTGAGCCGGCGGACGTCGAGTTCGTCTGGGCTGAGGAGGAGGAGGGGGGCCACCACGACGACCCTTCCGAGCACCAGAAGCGCATGACACTGCTCCGCAAAGCGATCACCGGGGAGGCGACCATCAAGGCTCTCTATGCTCAGTGGGAGGCCTCTCTCTTGTTACCCGACCAGACCGGCGAGGTGGCCAACCTCAGGACAGCCGTGGACGCTCTCAAGGGTGACACCGCCGACGCAAACAAGTTCCGAGATGTCTTCAAGTTGATGCCTAAGTTGCAGATGAACCTCCGCGATGGGGCCCTGCAGGACATCGAGACTGAGGTCATGTCCTGCGTGGCGGAGCGCGTCAAGGAGATCCAGGGCATTGACCAGATGGAAGGTGACCGCCTGGCGCGTTGCTTAGCAGAATTCTACCCCGACGCTAACGCATGCATGATTGGGTGCAAGCCTGGTGCCTTCAAGACTTCTCTGAAGAAGGAGTTGGGCGTGCTCGCGCCATTGCAGGCGGCCTCGCAGTCCCTTCAAATGGTCGTTGCTCTCGACAACGCGTGCAAGAGCATTGAAGAAGGCCCTGGGGGTGGAGTCATCCTGGCGGATTCGGTCGATGAGCAGGGCCGCATCAACGATGACTGGGCCAAACTCTTTGAGGCCAGGAAGGCTTGCCACGGCCAGAAGATCCCACCGCTTGCTGGCGACGACGACCAGAGGAACATTTCGATCAGAGCCTTCTACCGCCGTATTTGGGATATCATCCAGAGCCAACCATTCAGCGAGTGGCACGGCCTCGACGCTTGTCGGATCAATCTCGTCAAGGACATCGGCGACATGCTTCCTCAAGAAGAGCGTGCCAATGGCTCCGACATTGCTTTCCAGATGGCCATCCGCATCGTCGAGATCCACTCCATCATGGTATTCCTGGGGATGTGCGAGCCAGATGCCAAGAGCCAGGAGGTCCGCGCCCGGGGGCCCGAGTATAGTAGTACCAGGACGTTCCAAATGCGTTTCTGACGGGGCGGGGCAAGATTCTGACCGAGGGCCCTCAGAGCCTCAGGGCCTCAGGAGGGGAGGGGGACGGATAAGGCGAGGGTCGGGCCAGCGAGTGGGGCCCCTGCCTCCCTTGGGCCCCGGGGCCGCCGTCGTCATCGAGAATCGCGGCTGATCGATTTCACCCCGCACTTAGGTCGACAAGCTCACGCGCACCCTCGCGCTGGCGCCCATCAAGGCCCCCGCTGAGGACGACGCAGAAACGATCCGCATGCTTAGGAGTCTGACTGATGGCCTACGTCAGGTGAAGCAGGACGCCAACGACCTCCGCGTTCGCCTCATCTGCGAGTTCTTAGCCGCGGTTGCAACTGACATCGAGACGATCCAGGCGAAGCTCACGAAGAACGCTTACGGCGGCAAGAACGGTCATTCATGGAAGCAGCCGTTGAACGCCAATTCGCCCATCGCCGAGGTCCGCGAGGCGGGGGACAAGCATCTCTTAAAGTTAAACGGCCAGGATATGATCGACGACTGGAAGAAGGGACTGGAAGTCGTCAGGGCGGCCCAGAAGCTGGTGGCGAAGTACAAGGACGTCGATGGCGTGAAGGAGTCTAGGGCGTTGAAGGGTACCGACGAGGCGATCAAGCAGTGTTTCGTTGTGGTGAGGGTCGCCAGGGTCACGATCACGGAGGCGCAGCTGCTTAACTGCGAGGGTGATCCTTCGAAGGAGGATGCCAAGAAATGGGTGAAGCTCCTGGCGTCTTGCGGCGCAGATCCCTCATCCATGCACCCAGTGTTGTACGCGATGTTGCAGAAGGTGCTCCAGGCCCAGGCCTGAACCTGCAATGCAGGCGATGCGTTCACGATGCTCTTTTTTTGCTCGCTTCTTGATGCTCAGGTTGATCACTTGAGTCACTTGAGGCCGTGGTGGCGGCGATGAATGAGCCAATGTCGGCTCCGCTCTCTCTGAGTCAGACTCTGAGGCTCAGATCTTAAGTTTCTTTTCGACAGGGCGAGCGGGTCAGGGCTGAGGCTCAGGCCCGATAGTGAGGAGAGGAGGGTCCTTCTGGACCCCGTAGGTTCGCTAGCCCCGATCGGAACACCGCCACCCGGCCTCGGCACCGAAGCCTCCAGGACCTAGGAAGGACGAGGACGAGGAGGATGAGGAAGAGGACGCGGAGGAAGGAGGAACCAGCCAGTAAGCCAGAAATCTGTTGGACGGTGGAGCCCGCGCGCCCTGCAGCTCAGCAGATGTTTCTGCAGGCAGTCTGGTCAGGAGCATGTCAGTTTATTTGCCTGGGCCCAGGAGCCCCCCGTCACTTGGCCCTTCCTCACCCTCCTCTCGCCATCTTCCTGGTCCTACCTGCTCTTTCCCCTCCTCCTCCATCCACCGTCCGATGTGAAGCTCAGTGCGACTCATACTTCTCCTGCTAGATCGTACTTTTCCTTCAGCTCCCTCCTCCCACTCCTTCCAACCATCTTCCCTCCTCATCCTCCTCCCAGTGCCTAGGTCCTGGGTCCTAGGACCCGAGCCCTCTCTCCTCCTCCGCCTCCTCCTCCCCGCCCTCCCCCTCCTGAATCTTCCTTCCCCTCCTCCTCCTTGATGCCACGGGCCCCAGGCTTAGTGCTTAGTGCGAGCGAGCATCCAGAGTCTGCGTGATTTTCGCGTTGAGTATTTTTGTCCAGCCTCCTATTCTGCCATCCCCCTGCCCTATAGGGGCCCTATGTCGCTCCTCTCCATTCTCTGTTCCATCCCGTCCCCCGATGGTGCTGGATTTTTGCTACTGCTCTGCAGCCTCGGGCCCCGGCCCCGAGAGGAGCAGTTGATTTGGTTCTCGAGTTGGGAGTGATGGCAGTTTGGGAGGGGGGGAGCAGCTGGCCAGCTGGGTACATGGTTTGGCTACTGCTCTGTGGTAACATCGAGGATGGATTTGGGTGGAGGAGAACCACGGAATTTTGACAGCCAGGAGAGAGCGGGCAGTGAATGAAAAGCTCCACGCCTGGCAGCCAGGCAGTTGCTGGCTACAGTACTATATTCTAACGTGTGCGCGCCTGCACGGTCACCAACGTAAAATGATGTCCGCTTGTAGTAGCTGCTCCTTCCTACCTCCCTCCTACTGCTGCCGCTGAGACTCTCTGTCTTCTCATCTCATACCTCTCTTTCCGACACCTTTCCTGGTTCGAACCGCAGGTGTGCCAGGTGTGCGCCCCCCGCCGCACGCGACGCGCCAAGCCGAGCACCACCCGTCCCTCCTGCGAGGTTGACGGGTGTATGCCATCCCGCGATGACAGGGCGAGCAGCGGCCTTCGGTCGCGCTCCCCTCGGCGTCCTCCTCGGCTCCAGCTTCGTGGCTCTCTTAGGACTCTTCGCTCTCTTCAGCTCGCGGAATCGGCTATCGCAGTACATCGCTCCCGGCTGGGGACGGACGACCCCGCAGCTATCGGAATCGACCCTTTCCTCCACCAGGCCTACGGCGTCCACGATGCCGCTCGCCGCCTCCAAGCCCTTCAACATGCCGAACACGTCGAGCGACGCGCTCGTGTCGAGGCAGGGCCCTGCCCTACGCACTTCCAGCGGTACATGGACCACATGGGTCAGGCGGTGGCGTTGGCCGCAGACCTGGTTTCCGCAAGGGCCGACTTCCTGCGGTTCACAGGCCAGCACATCATCTTTGCCAGGGACGCTCTTGGGGACCTGGTCCGCGATGGCCCACGCGTCGTTCCGCCGCCTCAAGATCCCAGTCCTAGCGTCACTCCGTGGCCTCAAGAACCTAGGTACGTTCGAACCCAGGACTGCACGACCATCCTGCGCGCCTTCATGGACGCCCTTGGCATCGACCAGCCAGAAGTCGGGGATCCACCTCTTTCGGAAGAACGCGTTCGAGAAGCTGGATGATTTGAGGCAGGCGGCAGAGGCAGCATGCGAGACAGCACCCAGGCTTGGCAGTGATCAGCACAGGCCCGACGGGCCCATGCAGCACGACTTCATCTACTCCGAGGGCCTCTACAACCGGCCCGCGTTGCTCTCGTGCGACGCGGAGGGCCTGGCTAGTCAGCCAGGCACGGCCACCACGCGCTGGTCCTCCAGCCCCCCGTGGGCGGCTGCTGGAGGGCCTGCTGGTGCGCGCCGTCAAGTACGCCAGCTCCGCGCCGTGAGCCGGCAAGCTCTTTTCGCATCCAGCTTTGCTTTCTATGCCCGCTTGCTTGCAGTCTTTATTGTATTCGGGTATCACAAGTCACTGCGGGTTTCTAAGGGACAGCCTAGGTCTCGCTCGCCGCACCAGCGTCGTGGCAGCTCGGACCGCGATGCTCGCAGGCCCGATCGCAGCAGGCGGTCTCGTGATGGCCCTTCGGACGACTCTGACGGCGACCTGCCTGCTGATGAGTCAGGTCGCACAACTCAGCCCAGTTTAGAATTTGGCCACAGCACGCTCTTCGTTTGCGTCCCGCAGCGGTCCCTCCAGTGGTTCACTATACAGATCCCACGGCGAGGGCTCCGCGTCTGCGACGTCATAGACTGCGTTCGTAGGGATCACTTCCCAGACCTGCGCGACAAACAAGCAGGACTCTTTGCCTTCGTGGCGCCGCCGCCTGGCTGCGTCGGCCCCGCTACAGGACCTCCTGCCAGCATGCGCTTGCCCAATCACCTTCGCATCTGTGCAGGACCGAAGTTGAGCGATCGATTATTTTCTCTCTGGATCGGGTTTCCCGAACCATCTCGCATGATGGAGGGAGCCGCTGAGTTCCTCTGTCGCTCAAGCGCTCCAGCTGCGCCAGCGGGCCCAGTGCGCGCTCCAGATGCGCCAGGGCCAGGGCCGCCAGGGCCAGGGCCGCCAGCAGGCCCAGTGCAGCACCCGTCCTCCGGTGCAGCAGGCCCAGTGCAGCACCCGTCCTCCAGCGCAGCAGGCCCAGTGCAGCACCCGCCCTCCAGGGACTCCAGTGCGCCTAACTCCCATGCCTCATGGGCCGACGTTTTCCCAGGCTCTGTTTCTGGGGCCACCGCCAAAAGCAGGGGCTCTCCGCCGCCTTTAAAGTCTTCTCCGCGTTTGCCGCTCATACTGCCACCTTTACCCTTGGCCCCCTTGGCACCCTTAATTAACTTAAGTCCCCCAGTGGCTGCCACAGCGGCTTCGGCCCCAGTCTTCTCGGGTCATACGGGCCACGCCGCGCACTTTAATTCTCTGCCACAGTTTGCTTGTGAGCCCCCAGCCTCAGGGCCGCCGCCAAGTCAGCAGCCGCCGCCAGAGTCTGCAGAGTCTGCAGTGCCAGAGGAGTCAGGCAGCTCGTCACGCGCGTCTTCTGCCCCGCGCGAGGGCCGCAGGTCAGCCAGGTCACCCAGCCCAGTCAGGACAGTCAGAGTCAAGGGCAGCGGCCAGGGCGGCCAGAGAGATCGAAGTTATCACGTCGCCCGTGCCGAGTATCACCTAGCCATGTGCCACGGGCCTGGCAGCGATCAGTCGAGCCTCCGCCACCGCGAGGATCCCAGGCAAGATCCCCCGCCCAAGGAGGCAAGTGGAGACAGGGCCCGCAAGTCGCCAGGAGGCTCCCAAGATGACTGGAGGAAGCACGAGGCGCAGATGGCGCCCAGGGCCAGGGCGGCCAGGACTGAGGAGCCTCGGGAGCGTCGCCGCGAGCGAGACCGAAGGCGGCCCTCACCCCCTGCGCGGCGCGTTTCTCGAGGCGCGGCTCGAGAGCGTCGAAGGGAGCCTTACCGCCTCGTCTCGGTCAGCCGTTGCTCGTCGCAGCCTGCCGCTAGGTCTAGGTCTAGGCGCTCGAGGCGCGACGCGTCTCCCCGCGAAGCTCGCCGCCCTGCTGCAGCTGAACGTTCGGCCAGCCGCCCGCTTCTCCGGCGCAGACGCCACCCCCCGACCGACGACAGTGCTGCCGCACAGCCCGAGGAAGAGGCGCCCAAGTCAGCTCCTCAGGAGTCGCCGCCGCAGCCCCTGAAGGCTGAGCCTGAGAAGACCCGTCCTGTTATGCCGCCGCCCGCAACTGTGGAGCCGCCAAAATGCGCGACGTGCCACCAACGACGTTGGCCAGTATCTAGGAGCAACAGTTGCAAATACCATTGCAGCGAGTGCAAGCCTTCCATGCCGACTTGCAGCGACTGTCATAACACCACGTGGGATGGAGTGTGGCGCGGCAGGCGCTTTCTCGCGGCAGGCGTAGGTTTCATGTGCACGGGTTGCTGGATCGCCGATACCATCAGTGACCAGGAGCAGGAATTGTGGCTCAAATGGTGCGCGAAGCGCGCCGAGCAGTATCCTGACGTCTTCGCTGATCCGATGACATTTCTCGAGGAGACGCATCCTTCAGGGACTGCGACTCCTAAGTAGCGCGCCAGCAGCTTCGCCATGCCATGCCCAGTTCGGCGCCCGGGGCCCAGTGTTGCCAGCAGTGTGGCGCCCAGCGATTCCATCAGCGCTCAGCGATGCCAGCAGCGCCGTTTTGGTGCCCAGCAGTTCGTCGGCCCGGGGCCGCAGGTGTGGGCAGCGCCGTAGGGCTTAAGGCTTAGACGACGGACGACGACGACGACGACGACGACGGACGACGACGACGACGACGGTGACGACGACGACGACGACGACGACGACGACGACGACGACGACGACGACGGACGACGACGGCGACGAGACGACGACGACGCTGCATCCAGAATCTGGAACCTGTCCGCGGTCCTTCCGAGTGCAGGCAGCCACTATCACTACCAGACAGTGCAGCACAGCGCAGCAGCGCAGCAGCGGCGCAGCACAGCGCAGACCCTACCAGACACAGTGCAGACCCTACCAGACAGCACCACGGGCCTGGCACAGCGGGACTCGAGTGACTCCA